ACTACGAACAAAGCTAGTGGAGGTGATGGAATTCCAGTTGAGCTATTTCAAATCCGGAAAGATGATGCTGTGAAAGTGCTGCACTCAATATGCCAGCAAATTTGGAAAACTCAGCAGTGGCCACAGGACTAGAAAAGATCAGCTTTCATTCCAATCCCAAAGAAAGGCAATGCCAAAGAATGCTCAAACTACCACACAATTGCCCTCATCTCACACGCTAGTAAAGTAATGCTCAAAATTCTCCAAGCCAGGCTTCAGCAATACGTGAACCATGAATTTCCATATGTTCAAGCTGGTTTTAGAAAAGGCAGAGGAACCAGAGATCAAATTGCCAACATCAGCTGGATCATCGAAAAACCAAGAGAGTTCCAGAAAAACATCTATTTCTGCTTTATTGACTATGCCAAAGCCTTTGACTGTGTGGTTCACAATAAACTGTGGAAAATTCTGAAAGAGATGGGAATACCAGACCACCTGGCCTGCCTCTTGAGAAATCTGTATGCAGGTCAAGAAGCAACAGTTAGAACTGGACATGGAACAACAGACTGGTTCCAAATAGGAAAAGGAGTATGTCAAGGCTGTATATTGTCACCCTGCTTATTCAACTTATATGCAGAGTACATCATGAGAAACGCTGGGCTGGAAGAAGCACAAGCTGGAATCAAGATTGCCGGGAGAAATATCAATAACCTCAGATATGCAGATGACACCACCCTTATGGCAGAAAGCGAAGAAGAGCTAAAGAGCCTCTTGATGAAAGTGAAAGAGGAGAGTGAAAAAGTTGGCTTAAAGCTCAACATTCAGAAAACTAAGATCATGGTATCTGGTCCCATCACTGCATGTCAAATAGATGGGGAAGGAGTGGAAACAGTGTCAGACTTTATTTTTTTGGACTCCAAAAATCACTGCAGATGGTGACTGTAGCCATGAAATTAAAATTAAATTTCCTTCCTTGGAAGGAAAGTTATGACCAACTTAGATGCATATTAAAAAGCAGAGACATTACTTTGCCAACAAAGGTCTAGACAGAGGTCTAGGCTATGGTTTTTCCAATGGTCATGTATGGATGTGAGAGTTGGACTGTGAAGAAAGCTGTGTGCCGAAAAATTGATGCTTTTGAACTGTGGTGTTGGAGAAGACTCTTGAGAGTTCCTTGGACTTCAAGGAGATCCAACCAGTCCATCCTAAAGGAGATCAGTCCTGGGTGTTCATTGGAAGGACTGATGCTGAAGCTGAAACTCCAATACTCTAGCCACCTCATGCGAAGAGTTGACTCATTAGAAAAGACCCTGATGCTGGGAGGGATTGGGGGCAGGAGGAGAAGGGGATGACAGAAGATGAGATGGTTGGATGGCATCACTGACTCAATGGACATGAGTTTGAGTAAACTCTGGGAGTTTGTGATGGACAGGGAGGCCTGGCTTGCTACAATTCATGGGGTCTCAAATAGTCAGACATGACAGCGACTGAACTGAACTGAGTGGTAAAGAACTTGCCTCCCAGTGCAGGAGACATAAGAGACACAGGTTTGATCCCTCTATGAGAAGATTCCCTGGAGAAGGAAATGGCAACCCACTTCAGTATTCTTGCCTGGAAAATCTCATTGGCAGAGGAGCTTGGTGGGCCACAGTCCATAGGGTTGCTGAGTCAGACACAACTGAAACGACTTAGCATGCAGCACGGTTCACATGCAGCACATAGGCACAGAGCATTGAGTAGAGTTCCCTGTGCTGAACAGTAGGTTCTCATTAATGATCTATTTTATACATAGTATCAATAGTGTGTATATATATATATATATATATATATATATGTCAATCCCAGCCTCCCAATTCATCCCACCCTTCCCTCCTGCTTTGGTATACCCATAAATTTTTTTCTAGGATTTATTTATCTTATAGCTAGAAGTTTGTACCTTTTTAAAAATATATCTATTTACTTATTTGACTGTACTGGGTCTTAGTTGTGTCATGTGGGATCTTTAGTTATCACAAGTGGGATCTAGTTCCCTGACCAGGGATCAAACCCCAGTCCTCCTGCATTGGGAGCTTCGAGTCTTAGCCAATGAATCACCAGGGAAGTCCCAGAAGTTTGTCCCTTTTGACTTCCTTCACCCATTTCATCCCCCACTTTGGCAACCTACCAGTCTGGTTTTGGCCGCCTACCAATCTGTGTGGTTTGTTTTTCTTAGATTCCGCATATAAGTGAGAGTGTACAGTATTTCTTTCTCTGGCTTGTCTCACTTGGCCTCTTGATGTGACTGCTCATGAATTTCCCTCTGGTCACATGGGTTTTTTCACTGTCCTGGGCAGGTAAATTTAATCTGACCTTCAGACTGTCCCTTGCTCACCTCTTGCCTGCATATCTTCTCGTATCAGATAATACCCTTTTGCTGAGAGTCACAGAAAGCTGACTTGAACAGGCAAATTTACTGGCTCAAGAAAGAAGTATAGAGAAGGGTGTGCTTTTGGTTGTTCAGTCTCAGTGGCTTGATCATATAATCAAAGACCCAGGAGTTTTGGTCTATTGGTTCTGTTGTCCAGCGCTTGGCTTTATCGTAAGCTTTGTTCTCTACACAATCACAGAATGTTTCAGTAGCAATTGAATGTGGAATGTTATCCTCCAGACAGGGAAAGAAATTTTAGGAAATAGAATGCCTTTCCAAAAATTTGGCAAACTTTTCCTCTATCTCCTTGGCTTCATCCTGCCCATCCCTGAGTACGGGATTTTGATGAGACTAACCAAAGCCATGCTCAGAGTTGGGGACATTTGTCCACAGTGTGTTCTAGCTTCTCAGTAGGGAGGGGTAGGATGGGTGTCAGGTAATTAACCAGTGACCTCAATGCCTTCCTCCCCCCCTTTTACTGCTTCCCCTGGGGAAATCTATTACTAATTTGTTTGTTTCTCCAGCTTTATTGCAATATAATTGACATAATGCTGTGTAAGTTTAAGGCATCTGTTGCTGCTGCTTAGTCACTTCAGTCGTATCCAACTCTGTGCAACCCTGTGGACTGTAGCCCTCCAGGCTCCTCTGTCCATGGAATTCTCCAGGCAAGACTACTGGAGTGCGTTGCTATTCCTTCCTCAAGGGGATCTTCCCAACCCAGGAATTGAACCCAGATCTCCTGCACTGTAGGCAGATTCTTTACCACTGAGCCACCAGGGAAGCTCAAGTTTAAGGTATACAGCTTGTTAATTTGATACACTTATAATTTGCAAGAGGATTATCACTATAGTGATCTAAACCTACATTGTCTGTGTGTGCTCATTTGCTAAGTCTTTTCCGACTCTTTTTGACCCCAAGGACATAGCCCACCAGGCTCCTCTGTCCATGGTATTCTCCAGGCAAGAACGTTAGAGTGGGTTGCCATTCCCTTCTCCAGGGGATCTTCCTGTCGCAGGGATCGAACACATGCCCTCTGCAGTGGAAGCACTGAATCTTAACCACTGGACCGGGGAAGTCCCAAGTTCTCCTTTAGACTCAGTGGCTCTGGGTGGATTTCTATCACTTTCCCTGGTAAGAGCCCTAGTATACATACTTACTAATAGGTATGAATGCTTGACTTCAGGAGAGTAAATGCTTAAAGGACAAGAAGCAAGCAGAGCAAGAGGTGAGTTTAAATAGAAGAAGCCAGAAGTAGTTTGGAGTGTAAATGTCAAGACAAGAAGCAGTAAGAGATGAGGCTAATAAGTAGACAGAAATCTGATCGTGGGACCTGGATGTAGTTTGCAAAGAACTTTGGACTTGATCATGTATCTGTTCATTCTACAGGATTATAAATTGGTGTTAGGCAGAGGGTCTGTAAACTATACAACGTGTGTGTGTGTGAGTTGCTTAGTTGTCTTCGACTCTTTACCACCCCATGAACTGGAGCCTGCGAAGCTCCTCTGTCCATGGGATTCTCCAGGCAAGAATACTGGGGTGGGTTGCCATTTCCTTCTCCAAAACTATACAATAAATACTAGTAATTAACTGGGTGTTAAAGGCAGGCTTCAATTGTCCCTAGACCCTCTGAAATAGCATGAAAAAGATTTGTGGGTATGTACAGGTTTATTTGTCTTTGTTTCCTTTATGGAAAAGGTCCCTAACTTTCATTAGATATTAACGGAGTTCCTGACCCCAAAAAATGTATGAACAAGCTTTTTCAGGAATTACTGGCTTCAAATATCCATGCAAATCTCATTTCCCTTCTCATTTCCTCACAACGCTTAAAAACTGTTGGGCACAAAGAAAATGCTCCACAACTGTTAGGTTGGACACGGTCTTAAGAGGGGACTTTCCTGTGGGATCAAGAAAAGACGTAAGGAGATAATATAGGCCTTGTTAGTTATATAGAGATTTTAACCGGTAATATTGGATGTGACATCCATCGTGTTATTGACTTGGTCAGCCGCCCAAGATCTGCAGGTTCTTGGAAGCGTCACCCTAGGCACCGCCGCTATCCCTGAAAGCCAACTCCAAGTATCCAAGTCTTTTCACCCGCAGGTGCAGCGACTACAAGTCCCAGGATGCTTCGCTCTCGGAGCCTGAGCGAGGGCGGGGCGGATCCCCGCAGTGACGTAACCGACCGGGGCAGTGCCGAGGCAGGGCGGGGCGAAGGGGCGGGTCGGGGAGGCGACCGGGCGCGCTGGTGCTGATGCAGGATGGCTGAGCTCGCAGGAGCCCGGGAGGTCTGAGCAGGGAGAGGCTGGCTCCCTGCGCGTCGCCTCGTCCGCCCGCCGCGTGGTCGTGGGCAGGTGGGCCAGGGGCGCAGCGCAGAGCCAGGGAAAGAAGGTCTGCAGCCGGCTGGGCCAAAGGTTAATAGGCTGCCCACCTACAAGGTGTCGGAGCGGCCGGAGTAGCCCAGCCCGCCGAGTTCGCGATGACCTGCTGAGAAGCGTCGCCTAGGCTGCGGGAGGCGGCCTTGTTGCGGGCGGTGCGGTTCTCAGCCACTTTCCCTCGTTGTGCGGAACCGCGGCCCCCCACCCATCCCTGCGCCCCCTCCCTGCCGCCGGCCGAGATGGCGGATCCAGCCGAATGCAGCATCAAAGTGATGTGCCGGTTCCGGCCTCTAAACGAAGCAGAGATCCTCCGCGGGGACAAATTCATCCCCAAATTTAAAGGCGAGGAGACCGTGGTGATCGGGGTAAGTGGCTGGGAAGTCCGTCCTCCCTGATGCTTCGCGCCCCAGCCCGCGCCCCGATGCCCCAGGCCGGGCAGAGATGCTCGGGCAGCCCTTTGGACATCCATTGGGGGCTGCCCTCTAGGGTGGACTTGACGAGAATGCCCCACCCCGTAGTTCCCTCCTGGGCGAGTTGAGGGTCGACTGGAGGCCCTGGGGCGGCCCCAGGTGGCGGGGGTGGGGGTAGGGGGCGAGCAAGGGTTCGGCGCCGCCATTGTTATTGGGGTGGGGGCCCAGGTGGGTCTATTGTTCCCCGCCCTGGCCACGTCGCGTGGGTAGTGTGTTCGCGCTACTCTCAAGCTCAGACTCCCCTTAAAGTATGAGCTCTGTAACCCACAAATGATTCCAGGTATCGTTAAGGTTTATCGAGCACTTTGCCTCTTCTCAGTTTTGGTAAAAGAAGGAAAAAAGCTACTGGAAAAATCCTAGCCTCTGCACCGAGCTCCCACAGCCGTGTCGAATTGGCTCCCCGCGGCGTTTCACCTTGCTCTGCACGCGGAAGGCGGGGGCTGGGGGAACACTGGTGGCCTCTCCAGGAGGCTTCGTGTGTCTCCTCCTGCTTCCTCTCAACCCAGGCTGTCCTGACTTGGACCTCGAGTCTCACTCTTCCCCGGTGGGGCGACCCCCACCTGGTGTCCGCAGACCCTCGGGTGTGTTTCACGCTGGGTGGTGAGGAGGCTGCGCGCCCGCCCGCATCTGTGGGACCGGGGGTCCCAAACCGAGCCAAATAGCCTCTGTACCCAAAGAACAAGTTACTTTGTGTGGCTGGGGCACCCTCGCTTTTGATCTCCCTTCCCAAGTTTCCCTTCCCCAGACTTGGCTCCATTTCTGCAGCGCGGTTGCTGGTGCGGGGAGGGAATACCGTTGGGTTTTAGTTCTTAAAGGAATATGTCAAATGAAATAAGCCAGCTTTCCCTGCCCCCCACCCCCACCCTTCCCCCTCTGTTCCCAGCGTGTGTAGCTGAAGGTACCCTCTTTGTATGCGAGTCGCGTGGGGAGGGACCGAGTTAATGGGAGCCTCCCGATCCCTGCTGACACGTTCCTGGCAGCCTGCTCGAGGCTGCTGATGCAGCCTTCCCGGCCTCAGCATTGATTAAATGATGTCATCCCGATTACTGAGCATGCTCAGACTACCCCCTCCCTCCTATTTTCCCCCAGTGGCAGGGGTATTTAGGTCAAGTGATTGACAGGTGACAGTTTACTTAGGGTCTCTGCCGGAGTCAGGTCGACCCTTCTTAAGCACCAGAGGCAGACATTTGCCTGCCCAAACAGTCCCAGCATCTTTGCCAAGGTTGTGCCGCAGTCCCTGTAAAGGGCCCCGGGGACTAGCAGGTGCTGGTCGAAGCGGAAGGCAGGCTTTCTACGCGGGAGGAGACTGGAGGCAAGGCTCCAGCATTGCCAAAGGGCTTCATTGTGTACCTTCCTTAGAAAGGCATCTCCTCTTGAAGACCTCTTCTCTCCTCCCCATTTTCACAGTCATCAGAAAACCGTGACCTCCAAATGCTATGGGGGTGGTCGTTCATCCTGAGAGCTGGCCTGTGAGGCCAGGAAGGAGGGGTTTTCTATCTGCTTAGTGTTAAATTGAAGAAAAGATGTATGCTACCATTATTGATGAGGAAGAAAATTCTATACTTGATGGCTGACATTGGATAGTGACATATCTATGGCCAGGACATGGGATGGATAGTAGCTTGTTGGTTACACATCTAAGCTGGGGTCATCCTACAGGCTGATTTGCTGTTTCCTGAGCCAGCCTGTGGTTTGGATAGAATGGGAATTACTGGGGACATATAGCCCTGCCCCTTGTCTGGTAACAGTTTTTTAACCAATAATTGTTCAGTCCTAGAACATGTTCTGGTGACCCTATTTTTTCAGAGGTTTTAAAGAGAGGCTCAAGTTGTTTCTTTTCTTTCTCCTCCTTCTCTCCCTCCTACTCCGCCTTCTTCCTCTCTGACCCCCTCTTTCTCCGTCTTCTAGGGGTAACATACCAGGACTAATGAAGTGGAGTAATAGATCATCCCTTTGATCTGTGTGCAAGGCAGAGATCCTTAATTTTATGGTTATCCTTCCTTAATTTTATGACACTACTAAAGTATGTTAAACAAATGGTTGTGGATGTGAATACACCTGTAGCTCTTCAACTGTAAATCTGGGGTAAATTGAAAATGTTTTATCTTACTATAATCTTTTAGTACAACACTTTTCAGTTTTCTTTAAGATAAATTTTTCTTTGAAATAAAGCATTCATATAGAAAAGTGTTTTCATAAGTGTATACTGCTTTATATATATATATATATAAAGTAAACACTCCAATATCCACCTCTTAGGCTAGGAACCAGACATTTTAGGACCCCAGAAGTCCCTCCCGGTCACTAACTCCCTCTGCCTCAGAATAACTGCTATTCTGACTTTTAGTTTAGGTTTTTTTTTTTTTTAAAGCTTTAGCTCCGTAAAACCACACAGCATGTTCACCTCTTTGTGTGAGTGCTTGTGTTCAACATTATGGTTGTCAAATTGGTCCACGTTGTGATGTGTGGGTGCAGTTGGTTCATCTTCATTGTTCTGTAGTATCTTATTATATGAATATACCACAATTTATTTATCTAGTAACTGTTGGTAGTAACTGTTTGGATAGTTTCCACTTCGAGGCTAATATAGATGGAGCGGCTATGAACATTCTTTTATGCATCTTTCAGTGAGTTTGGTACAGAACCGAAGACTGCCAGATGCTGAAGGATGTTGGGACTTGAGTTGGCATGTGCTAGGACCCTTCCCATTCCTACTTAGTAATGTGTAACTAAAGGAAGTGGCAGTACTTGCAGCCTGTATCACCCTTTGTCGACTGAGTAGAAGGCTCCCAGGTCAATTCAGCTGGAACCAGCCTACCTGGCTTGGGTGCAGGTGGAGGCTCTCTTAGGTGGGCTCTCCCCTCCTTCTTGCAGGAGCATAGATTGTGGGGATGACCAAAGAAGCCCAGAACCCAATAGAGATGAATGAAGAATGAATTTCTGTGCAGTTAACTGTGAGTCCAAATTCAGAATCTCAGAAATTCTTTTTTGTTTTTGAAACTGGGGTGATTGTTTTTCCTTTAAAGTCTTGTTCATTTCTTGTGGAGATGTATGCTGAGAGGAAGATTTTGCAGGTGGGGTTCCTAGATTTCTCTTTTTTTAAGAAATGTCATCTTGAAGTGCATGCTTAGTCACTCAGACGACTGTGTCTGACTCTGCGATGCCATGGGTTGTGGCCCGCCAGGCTTCTCTGTCCATGGGATTCTCCAGGCAAGAGAACTGGAATGGGTTGCCATACCCTTCTCTAGAGGATCTTCCTGACTCAGGGATCGAACCCAGGTCTCCTGCATTGCAGGCGGATGTTTTACGGCCTGAGCCACCAGGGGTGAAGCTTGGAGGGATTATCTCTATCATTCTTGCTTTTCTTTCCCCCCTGCTCCTGTGCAGAACTTTCTTTCCCTGACTGCCCCAGCCAGTTTCTTCCACTGTGAACACCTGCAGCACTCATTTTGTATGTGTCCTCATAATTTTTTGCCTTAGACTATCATTTTTTAATTTTTAAGAGATTCTTATTTATTTTAAAATTTTTTGTTTATTTTTGGCTGTGCTGGGTCTTTGTTGCTGTGTGCGGGTTTTCTCTAGCTGCAGAGAGTGGTAGCTTCTCTTGTTGAGTATAAGCTTTAGCGCAGGAGCTCAGTAGTGCTGGTGCATGGGCTTAGTTGCTCCGAGGCATGTGGAACCTTCCCTGAGCAGGGATTGAACACTTGTCCCCTGCGTTGGCAGGCAGATCCTTATCCTCTATGTCACCAGAGAAGTCCCTTAGATTATTGTTAATTTTGATCCTGTGTCTAATGACATTGTAAAGCAGGTGTAGAGCCAAGACCCATTCATATTTTGCTTCTTGTACTTCTCAGGGTGTTACCCACAGACGGCACTTAATAAATATTTATTGATCTCTTTGTTGAATCTAGAAATCTTTACCTTGGTGTATTTTAATGATTTTATGGACTTTTCATTGACTGTAGGCTGTGGGGAGTAGTTTATTTATTATTTTATTTTATTTTTCTTTTGTGACATATACTTTTTTCCCCCAATTATTTTTATTAGTTGGAGGCTAATTACTTTACAATACTGTAGTGGTTTTTGCCATACATTGACGTGAATCAGCCATGGATTTACATGCATTCCCCATCCCGATCCCCCCCTCTCACCTCCCTCTCCATCCCATCCCTCTGGGTCATCCTAGTGCACCAGCCCTGAGCACTTGTCTCATGTATCCAACCTGGACTGGCGATCTGTTTCACACTTGATACTATACATGTTTCGATGCTGTTCTCTCAGATCATCCCACCCTCGCCTTCTCCTATAGAGTCCAAAAGTCTGTTCTTTATATCTGTGTCTCTTGTGGGGAGTAGTTTAAAAATAATTTTAAAGAGATGTACTATGTGCTGTCTCTTAAATGTCTTGGTAAAGAACTGTATTCAACCTTGTTAAAAATTAGGTCTGCTAATGACACTTGTGATGAGCTAGAAGTGGAGGGTGGGGGTGAGGGGCACCACATTAATTCTTTCAGAGAAAAATACTGGATTTGGAGCATTTCTCAGAACACTTCTTCATTAACTGCTAAAAATCCTGGTGAGTCATCCATTACTTTGAGCTCTGCCTGTTGGTTTTGATGCATCTGCATTGATGGAACTCTGTCTTGAGAGGGTTCTCAGTAGGGTTCTTTGAAATAGACTTTCACATGTCAGTTTTGGGCTTTCCTCTTGTTTGCATTCCTGGGAAAGCAGGTCTTGTTAACCAAGGGTGCCTCCCCTGAGGCAGTGTAAGTTTTGACTTGTTTGACAGCCAAAGCAAAATATTAGCCACAAACCCTGAGCTGGCCTTTGGCATGGAAAGTGGCCTTAGGATCTAGGAGGTTAAATTAGTTCTGGTCAATGGATGGGCAGGGAAGT